ATTCCTGCCAAATGTTCTTCCCTCCATGATGTTTGCTTCATCCTGGCAACTTTCCACTTGCAGAAAAATTAAGCCATTTGCTGGAGGCAAAAGGAGGATTTGCTTGGGATGATGCCCAAATGCAAAACTCGTATTTTAATTGAAGCCATTTTTTACCTGGAGTGAGGGATGGAATGTGTTTCTGAATCCAAGAGCAGATATATGGTTGTAATTAAGGGAAAGGGATGCTTTCCTACGTAGTGCTGGGGCAACACGTACGCTGCAATCCCCGTGACACAGAAGCTGCCATGTGAATGTGCCTCAGTCCCTTCCCAGCTCTCTCCCTGATGTCAATATAATCTTGGCAGCCTCCAACCCTAGAACACTGATCTGATTGTCTGAGGATCAGATATGTCTCCAAAATGTCTATAACCACTTGAACAAGTCCTTTGTGCCAATTATTTTTTTGTGGCGGATCTCACACAGCATGTCCAGGCTCCTGTGACAGCACCTCACAGAATAACAAATTATTTGTGAAGGAGAAAAATAAGAGCAAAATGTTGTTGTACAAAGCACTTTGTGGGTAGTGTGTCAGGATCCTGGAATCAGATCATTGAGAATGACGACTATCATTCAGCATCCATAGGTTAGGAAATCTGAAAACTCTGGACAACGGCTCGGAAGTGTACAACCCAAACTTTGCACTCTCTGAAGGCAAACCAAAGGAGCCTAAGATGCCTGAGGCGCTGAAAGCTAGGGATTGCCAGTACCTGTCATGTGAGGTCATCAGGATGAAAATTGGGATCAAGCCCTGGTCTTTAAATAATCTTGGGGAAAAAAGTATATCTTGTCTTAACACTGTGCCTGGGCTGTTTGCTCCTCCCCCTGCTCCTCAGTGGTTCCCCTCCTGTTCTCCTGTGCTTTCCATCCTCCAGGTTGGTTCAGACGGGGTTGCAGGGAGGGGTGGAGGGCAGCGTGACCTCCCGCGGGCTGCTGCCCACCCAGCCATGGGGGTCCGCGGGCAGAGGGGTGGCCCTGGAGGCAGCAGCCAACGCCACCCCATGTGAGGCCAGGGGTGCTGGGCGTAGAGCCCCATCCATGTTTCACAGTGTCTGGTGCCATCCCTCCCAGGAGATCCTCCATATCCCTCCTACTATGGAGTCATCTCCTCCTTGCCCATGTTTGCCCACGGTCAGGTCATCTGGCACAGCAGCAACAAAAATCAAAGCAGTAAATTGAAGACGTCTGAGATCTGGACTTCTGCATTCAGTGAGGAGAGAAAATTCCTGCAGCTGACTGAAACAAATGCAGATCCAATGGCCCTTAAATGTTAGCCTGGAAAAAAAAAAAAAGACTGCAAGACTTTTTTTAAACTGCTAATTGCCCGAGTACTTCCTCTGCTTCGATTAAATGAACCTAGATGGCCTTGGCTTGTGGGAAGCTGCTGCTTTGTCATCTCCTGGGGCAGGCCTTGTGAAGAAGAGCTTTCTTGGGCCAAATGTCTTGCTAACGGGTGGACAGCCGTCTTCTCCCGAAAGAGTTTCTGCCAACATTGTTTTATTAATAGAATACACTGATCACCCTCAAACGAGGGCTCTGCTGAAAAGGGAAGTGACTATCTAACTGTCCAAAAAGAGAACAATTTAAATAGAGAATAAAAACTAAGGCACTTCATCATCTTCCCATTTTAGCATGGTAGTTTATCATCATGAGAGGCAGGGCTTTACATTGTCAGGCTTTATCTGACGGAAATGAAAGATAGAAGAGCATCAGGCATTGCTTTCATTTTTGTTCAGGGCTTCCTCTTCTCAGTTGTCTGAAAACTTAAAGATAAGCTTAATAAAAGGAGATTTTCTCTTAACCAGAACCAGCCCCTCCAAAATCACTCTTTGCTGTCAACAAGACTCAGACATCCGTGACTCTGCTGTGGGTGGAAGAGGGAGTGGCTGATTTCTTTGAAGTCTACTGCCAGCAGGCTGGACCTGGTCAGGAAGCAAAAGTCCAGGTATGTAAGCATCTCTTCCTTGGTTTCTGCTCTTCATCTCTGAAACTTGCATCTTTCTGGTTTGATGTCTGCTGCTTAGTGTTTGTATGTAAAGCCCAATGAGATTTTATGCTCAGTGCACAGGTTAGACCGTTAAACCAAATGTGTTAAGGTGGTTCGGAATTAAACCTTTAAAAGCTAAACTACTAAAGCATTTAAAATACTAAAATATTTCATTATTTTGCAATATTAAGATTGGCTTCTGTCTTATTGACAAGATTATAACTAGTTGGACAGAAGCTCTGCGCATCCAACAGAGTGTCAGTCTTTGGCTACTCGTGAATATGGCTCTGATATACCGTGCAAAACCTAAAAAGGGCACAAAAATAAGGGAATGGCAAAGGGCAGGAAGGGAAAAATGGTCAGGTAGCTTGATAAGGAATGGGAAAGATAGACATGTTTTGATGCCATGAGATCTTTTATGCAGTATTTAATTATTTCTGGCTTACTTTATTCCTGGTTTTGAGAACCATTAACTGAAGTTCAGTAGGACCTTCACTGCTATTTAAAGAGTAACTTTTTTGCTGCAAATGCAGCTACTTCTCATACGTTTTGTCTCTTAGGGTATTTCCATGGAGACCATCCTTCTCAGCCTCGCAAATGAACCCCTCTTTCTCCCTGCCTGGTTAAGTACCTGTGCTCAGAGGCCACTTGAATATCTGAGTGTCTAGACTGGTGTCGTTGTTCAGTGAAGAATAGAGAAGGAGAAGTTTTAATTCCTTGACGTTCAATGCTGGGCAACATATGAGGCTTACTTTGCGGTTTAGCTGATGGAATGGTGAATCATTGTGATTACACGCCATGAAACACCATTCTCTCATGTGGACTGTCACACACAATGGGAAGTCATTCACAAAAAAGTAAAAAAAATATCCCACTCAGACCACTGGTTATCACACAAGAGACATACACACTCTTTAATCCTGTGGAAGACCAGTCTGAATTATTTGATATTCTTTTTAAATCAAGAAAGACATTGAGTAAAGCAAAAAAAAAAAAAAAAAAAAAAAAGTTTAAATGCACTTTAATCTTTTGGATAGTTTGAATTCCACATCTAGATTCCTGCTTTTTCACAGTCAACAGCTAAAGATTGTGAAGTCATTATCCACTTGGCAGAGATTCAAAATGACAGTATGATCAGGCAGGGAAGGTACCACAGGATTTGCAGCTCTAGTGCGGAGCAGATCTGTTTTAAGAACATTAGGAAAAGACTACTCTGTTTGGCAGGAGCTTCAGTGGGTGTCTCATTTGTTGACATGAACATCTGGCAGTGGGAAATGCACAGAGGTTGTCAGCTCACTCCTCATTAGATCTGTCACTCTTTTTGCTGTCTCTATGAGAAAAGGGAAAGGGCTCTTTTTTGGACTGTAAAAAGGGATGCTTTCCCATTAGACTGGTGAAAATTCTATGTTTGTGATTTTCCGTGCTAATTACATGAACATATTTGTCCCTTTCCTCCATTTTTAAATCAGTAAAGTGAAAAGCAACAGCTTTCCCAGTTTGAACATCTTGGGTTTTGGTTGGCTAATTTAACTTTCCCAGAGGGGAAAATGGAAAACGTCCAACCAAGTCCAATTGCCAAACTGTGGCCCCTCCTTTCGGCTCAGGGAATAAAAGTCTCCTCCCTTACACTCATGTATGTGTTATTTCATCTGCTTAACATACCTCAAAGTTGCACTGCCAGAGGAACCCTTGCTAGCCTAGACAACAGACCAATGCAAAAATCCAGTGCTCGGGACTTGTTACAGCATCTCACACTCTTCATCTGGAGTCAGTTCAGGTGTAAAACCTCTCCTTATTCCCTTCCTAAACCACTGGCTCAGTGTCCCTGTTTTTGCATCTAAAACCCACCCTTGGTTCTGCTGGAGAGCACAGAAAAGCCTTCGAGGACCTTACGGAGCTACATCTTTAAGTCAATGTGTGTGTCGTATTTGTTTTCTTTTGCTCTATCAGCATTTAAAAAAGACAAAAGTGTGTACCAGGGGCGTAGTGATTAAAACGTTTTAGACATATGTTATGTAAAGACTTTCTGCTAGCTAGAAGAACTGAGTTGTGGGATGCCTGATCATCATTATTACCCAAAGGCTTCGCTCCAGCTTTGCTTTTCATCTGGAAAGCCTCCCAGCTCTTCACATCTGGAGGAATGGTCTCAGAGGCAGAGATGACACGTGCTCATACGAGGGTGCAGAGATTGTGACAGCCTGGGCTGTGCTTTGAATAAAAAATAACTTTGTTTTCCTCCTACCTGTATGGCTTAGTAAGCAGAGCTCATGAGCTCTGCCCACCTCTGGGGATGTCCTGGAGGTCTCAGTGCTCTCCCCCACCACGTGTGTGCCTGACCAGCCCCCCATGAGACATCCTCCTGCCCTCCCCAAGGGGCCCTGGAGCTCCCCAGGGTGCTCTGGGCTGTTCTTGCTGCTCTTTCCACTCCTGTTCCTCTCCTCTCTTCTGCCATGCTACCTGCCTGTTTTCCAGGGCAGGCTCTGGTTACCTTCCCTGGGTTTCTAAGTGCTGGTTTCTTTCTGTGGATCTGACTTGACCTGGTCAAATCTCTATGGGTGGGGAGGGCAGCACTGATTTGTGCTCTTGCGTTTACAGGAGAGACAAACTTGCGTGCGTTCTTCCCCATGTCTGCAGGAACCTGTCACTGTCTCTTCCCACGTCGTGACTATTTCCAGCCTAAGCCCTGCCACTTCCTACAACTGCAGCGTGACCACCTTCAGCCACAACAGCCCCAGCATCCCCACTTTCATCGCGGTATCCACCATGGGTAAGCAGCACTTCCCTGCTTGCTTCTTCCTCCTCTAGCTGCAACATCTGTTTCTCCTTGCTTTCTAAAGCTGCTCTCGGTAACGCTGGCCCCAGGGGTTGTTTGTATCGTGGAAAGGCTGCCAGATGTGGATGGGATGGGGAAGCAGCTTTAAAAAATCCTTAGAAGTATTGGAAAAATATCAACTAGAGGCTCAGTTCTTTTCTGGGTTGTAGAAATCCAGGGCCTGGTTTATGGTGTCAAGGCTGAACATGAGGGTACTGCTTGATGACATCTATGGAGAAAAATGTCTTCTCAGCCAAGCCCAGACAAGAGGAAAAACACATTTTTAAGCTACTAAGGGAAAAAATTGCTTTCTGCTTCCAGTGAAGAAGTGGAGATAGGGTGAGAGAGAGAAGGAGAAGGGCCACCGCAGGATCTTGAGCAGTCCCACTCTGAAGGGATAGCTTCTGATGGAGGCTCCCTGGGCATGTTGTGAAGCCTGGCTCTAGACTGACTCTGAAGAAAGAACATCCATGTTGAACTGCCCAGAGCACTGAACTTTTCTTTAAAATCTCCCCTTCAGAATGATCAGTGTCATCTCTGTTTAGTTAGAGTGTTGTGCAGCTTTAATCACTGCTCCTGTACATCATTCAGCACTCCATGCTGGAGTTTAGCATCTGATTCTTTAGCTTAAAAGTCTCCATGATTTTTCATCTAAAAAATGCTTCTCTAGACAATCGTGGATATAAGTTATTTGGAGCAAGTAAAGTAGAGAGGGTTTCTTTAATAATGAGCAGAACAGTGTGCCTGGTCTCATAGTAGTACAGTCGATAAGCAAGGTTTTGTTATTGAGAATTGATTCCAGCTCTTATTTAAAACAGAGTATTTTGTTAAAATTTATTTGCCAAAGTAATTCAATCAATTTCAACCCAGCATATTACAGAGCCTCAGCCTGTTATTTTGCTTTTAGGTCAGAAAAAGTATTGATTATTGTTGAAGAGCAGCTTCAGTGTTGAAATGTGCTTTGGAGATCTAGATGATGATGAATATCTGTATTTTATATTTCCTACACCCTTTTCTCTTGTGTTATGAATGTCTGTTAAAAAGGGAAAAAAAAAAATCAGAATATGCCAAAGTTTAACAAAATGTGAGAGCGAAGTCATTTCCCCACAGAAATTTTCTAAGAGCAATAACTAGTCAAAACTTCCTTTTATCTCTAGTGGTAGATTTTTCTCTCTGTGGCTGAATGAGATCAGTTCAGAAAAATAACACTATCAACATTCAGGGGGAAAAGAAAACCAAACAAAACTGTCAGTGCTTCTAAATTGAATAACCAAGAGTCCTTGTTTGTATGTACAGTCACCGAGATGAATCCGAACGTAGTGGTAATCTCCGTGTTAGCCATCCTAAGTATCCTTCTGATCGGACTGCTGCTCGTGACTCTCGTTGTACTCAGGAGAAAACATCTACAAATGGCCAGGTAAGCCCAGATTTATGCTAATTGCAAAAATTTTGGAAAACAGCAACAAACACATCATGACAATAGTTGCAATTGATGATGCTCGTCTGCATGGGTGCTGCTCGAGATGCTTGTGAACAGATACCTTCTAAATAGTTGTCTTGCTGCTCTTCAGGAGTAGCATGTCCTCTCCTTCTCTCTACTCTTGTTCTTGACCTGAGTTGTAAGCCTCGACCTTTGTCTCATTTTGAGCTTTGCAAAATTGAAGTGCAATCACTTATTACAAAAGGATTGTAATAGTGTTCAAGGCCAGGTTGGATGAGGCTTTGAGCAACCTGGTCTAGTGGAGGGTGTCCCTACCCATGGCAGGGGGTTTGGAGCTAGGTGGTCTTTGAGATCCCTTCCAACCCAAACCATTCTGTGATTCTATGACACAATCATAGAATCATATGATTCTAGGATTGTGTCAGGAATCTAAAGGATAGTTGGATCTGAGGGAACTGGGTATGAGCAGGACATTCAGACAGCTTGCAAATCTTTCATAGAGTTTGGAACATGAGAGTTGCCGTAGCAACAGGTAAGATGATTTGTTCATCAGTTCCAGGGTACTGCATTTCAGAGGCCAAGTAAGGCCTGAACCTTGGCAGCCAAACCTCTAGGACTAGGGAGGATGTGCCCAGGGCCCTGAGAGTCTCTCTAGAGCAATTTGCCAGTCTGCCCCCAAATCCTGGTCTTCCAGTTGTCCAAATTCTTCGTTCATATGAGCTTCCTTCCTATGGGAACTGCAGCATGGGAAAGAGCATAGGGACCCACCTAGATCTTGTGTTTCTGTGCACACTGATACCCACAAATCCAGAAGGGATCTCAGGTCCTGCTGTTCACCTGTAACATTAGTGATCCCAAATTGTTGTGTCATACAGATGAAGGGAAAAATTGTCTTGTAGGAGTAAACCTTTTTTTACAGAACCTGTGGTTCCTTCAGCTATCTGCACCAACTATTTTTACCTGAATATTGAAATTCAATTTCCTGGTGGTCTTGCCTGTAACGGTTCACTTTAATGTGGGTTATGCCAAACCCTTGATATGTGGTTCACCTCCTGGTTTTGGAAGTGTTCTGGAGTTATCATCCTTTCACAACCTATGTAATATATTTTATATTAATTTACTGTCCTGTGTCAAAAAACGAAATGATTTCACGTAAAAAAAGGTATGTGAAGAATCTTCCACTTGGCTATCTAGCAGACACCATGTTTTGTACATATGTCCTGTCTTGGCTATGTATTCCATGCAACAGATGACCACATCACACATGTTTTGGAGGCTATCTCTTTCAGTGAACATTATGTGGTTTGTTCCTTTTACATGGAACTTGCTCTGTGAATATCTCAGCTAAATTAATTCTCTTTCCTATTTAATTACTGTGCAGGCAGACAGAAGCTTTTTCTTTTTCTCTTCATCGTTGCTTCTAGCCACAGAAGATAAAAACCCCAGAAGGAAATTATAAAAGTAAATCCAGTAAGAAGCTGCAAGCAATTGTTTGCTTAAATCAAGGAATCAAAACCAGTCAAGTCAGTTTATCATTCGTAGCTGAAAATAAGGGACTTCTGGTAACTTCACTGGAATGTTATTCATGAAATTCAGTTTTTTTTCCAAAATTATTTTGCGAACTCAAAATTACCATGATCCTGTCAAACGGAGACAGTTATACTTCTTCTCCTTAGAGTTGGGACAGTGAGTATTAAGTATAGAAAGGTAAATATTTAGCACGTGTACTGAGGCCAGCAACTAGTGCTAGAGCACCCAAATCTGGAGAGAAGATGAGGTCTATTTGAGATCTTTATTAGCAGCCTCTCACTTGTTTCGCTCTTTTTAAGCATTATTAGGAAACCTGATCTGGTGTGGTGTTGAATATTTACTGGGTTTGGATGACTATGCGAAGGGCTTTCAGTTACGTTTGTCACAGATTATCTCAAGACCTAGTCACTGATGTGAGTTTGGCTCTTCTCCGCGACTCCGAGAGTTGTCTGTTAAATCAACCTCATTGCAAGCCTTGTGAATCCAAAAATGGTAACTTTGTCACCAATGGTCTTCCTGAAACAGGGAGTGTGGGGCTGGAACCTTTGTCAATTTTGCATCTTTGGAGAGAGATGGAAAGCTCCCCTATAATTGGTGAGTGTTTGAAGCAAAGCTTTTAATTATATTTTTCCCCATCTCTACTTTTTGGCAAATATTATCTTTAATCTTGAGTGCTTATTTTTTATGTCATCACTGTCTCTCTTTAAGACAAAACTACTATACCTGTTATTTTATTCTTGAATGATGACTCAAGACTATGTATTCTGTCACCTGCTATTTTTGGTAGGGAATGATGTATATACATGCCAACCAAGTTGCATAGATGTGTTTTGGAAGGATATTTTTTTTCCTTTCCCTTACAGACATATTTCCTAAAAAACCACAACTGCAGAAACTTGATCTGTAAATCCATTAGCAGTTCCATAGAGATATATTTACATCCAGGAGTAAGCTTGCCTGTAGATGACCAATTAGCAACTGTCTTCATGCAGTGCCATTAATTAATTTTTCCTTGCATTGCAAGACAAGGACAAGTCAACTCAAATATTTACTGTAACTTAATGTTCAGTGCTGTTGAAAAGACTTGGAAAAAACCTCCGTATTCTTGTTAGTCTAGATAACCACCTACAAGAGTTGCAGGCACTGACGATGGACTCCAAACCATCACTGATGCCATCAGCTGAAGAGAAGTGTTTGAACAAAGAAAGTCTGTAGGATCAGTTTTTATAGAAGCAAAAGGGCTCTGAGAGCTACCTGACTGGCACCAGTGTGGTCATTTTCATTCCTATTTTGGTAGTCCAGTGGGTGCTAATGATCGACCCAAGGTTTACTGGTTTGTTGTTAGCAATCTCTGAAAAAAACTCTTAGCTTTCAAGGCAAGTCCGAACAGAGATGTCTAAAAGCGTACTGGCAGACCCATTCCAGTATGCAAGAAGAAGAAAATATGTGCCTTGGTTTTACACCCATGGCCAGCTTTGTCGACAGCCAGGAAGTTGGAAAGAGGAGTTGGTGCTCTAGAAACTGCTTCCATGATCTCAGGGGACACAGCCTGCCAGCAAGGACGGAATTAAATGGATTGATGCTGCACCACAACGAGCCTTTTGCTAATAAGCATGCAAACTGAACTAACAAGCCCAACAAATCTTGTCAATACCTCTCTGTGCTGCTAATTAGCTGGATATTAAACAAGCTTCACTTGCTTGGTTTAGCTGTAATAGCAGCCAGCTGCATGCAGCACAAACTAATCTCTCAGCTTCTCTTGCTTGGACTATATTAATGGCAAAGAAGGCAGAAGATCAAACACTCACTTTAATTAAATATCCAAGCTTGAATCAAATTATTAAGCTAGCAACAGATGTTATTAAAACCATAAAAGGCTTTTTTTATGGGGAAGGGGAATTAATTAATAAGTTTGGATGTGAAAGTGAAGGTTTCTGTTGCTTGATTTAGTATGTGTGTGTGTGTGTGTGTATGTATATATGCATATGTGTATACATACATAAATTATGTTATAAAAAGATAAATTGGGGAAAATAGTCCTGCTTAATATATCCACACATTTTTGGTGACTGAAGGCAGTGTACCCTAATCTTACAGTCCTGATTTCTGAGTTAGCAGAGATACCTTGTTTTGTCTGCCTCTGTTGTCTAATGTCAAGACTCGATTCACTGTCCATCCAGGCAGCCAAATGGAAAATGTGGCCCTAAAGACAGATAGAAGGATTAAGAAACCTGTTTTGCTTGGAGTCATTCCAAGGATCTAGTAAGGGAGCTATAGGCATATCCACTGATTCCTAAGGAAAGCTCGGCTCAGCAGAGTTTTCAGGATTTGAGCAATGTCTGCATCTTTCCTTAAATTAAATTAAATTGTTCGGTGCACCTGAGCAGTAGGTGAAAGACTATATAATTCCATGAGAACGATGTTGTATTTATTGGGCAATTACAAATTTTTCATATGTTGAATGAAATCAGTTGTTGTAGATGTCAGAGTTCCTCATCTGTGAACAATATAAGTAGGTTTGCAAGCACGTTAACCTGTGATTCGATAAAGTGTGGTAATTTCTTATGATGATTTGACGATGAAAGAAGACCCAGGCTTGAATAATTCTGCCTCTGTAGGCAAAAAAAAAAGGAAGTAAAAACCTCACTTGGAGTTTCCCAAAGGAAAGAGGAGTATTCTGGCAACATCATCACTTCTCTCTTCTGAGCCTAATGAAAACCTCTCTGTGGCACCAGAGATCTGCTTATGGAAAACCAAATTTCATCCTCAGTCCAGTCCCATAGAAAGCCAGACAACGGACAAGCCCTGAGGCCCTGATGCTGCAATTGCTATGGCATATGATTGACTGGAAAGGGCTCTCTCTTCTGGCTGACCCACGCCTGGAGAAGGTGCCCTGCAGAAACCGTGCTGCCCATTTTCTCTTCAGCAGCAAAACTCTGTAAAGCATAACTTGGAGTTTTCACTGCATGGGCAGAAGTTTTTCACCTCTGGTTGGAAAATTGAGATGAGAGATGATTGCTTTTGACATGAGTTGCTTATCAGGGAAAACACAGTATCTGGTGACTTCATAAGAGCCAAGAGTACTGAAAAAGGGAATGTCACTTTGTGACTCCTCTCTAGAACATTTGTAGAAGGATGTTATTGCTTTTAGGACAGCAGACTTTCTGAAGGGGGAAAAACAGGCTGAGGGCGTATTGTGAAAAAATATTGCTACTGAGGCAATTCTTTTTTAGGTTTTGTTATTGCTTTTAGGACAGCAGACTTTCTGAAGGAGGAAAAACACGCAAAATATTGTCAAAAAATATTGCTACTGAGGCAATTCTTGTTTAGGTTTTGAGAGTTTTTCACCTTTGCAAAGTACCTGTAGCCCACTCCACCAATAGGTAAAACAGGCCTGAGTGGGTTTCCTGGATTAATGCATAGCACAAGCTGGTCAACAGGTTGCAAATACAGAAGTTCAGAATTCTTTTGTACTCAAATTTCCTTTAGCCACAGTGAAAACTGCTGTGAATCATTATTCATAGAAACCACAGCTACAAGTTCAAATAATGTTTTGCTGAAAAACTAGGAGAGAATTTAATGCACTTAAAAATGGGACTCTGCAGAATGTTACATGACTGTTTTCAGAAATCTGGCTCAATAGAGAGTATGAAGAGATATTGGAATGATCTGAATTTGTCTCCGATACAGATGTTCTGATATCCACAGGAGCAAACATGGGAGATTATTGTAGTTGTACATGGCAAAACCAAACTATATCTGTCCTGAAATATCTCAAAACATCAGAAAATAGACTTAGCACCACCTATGTAATGGCCATAAACCTGTGGATGAATTTTCAAACACATTTTAACTCTCTGAAAATCTACCAATTATCAATTTATGTTGATTTAGAATAACAGGCCTGAATCAATGCCATAAAACACATTTATTTTGATCATACAGAATTTTACGCTGGATAGCTGAAAATCTTGCATAGGGTGTCAGGTTGAGAAGTAAAAATTCTGTGGATGCTAATAATGTGCTTATGAAGTAAGTAAGAGGAAGCCTTTATGAGTTTAGCTGATTTTTAAAATAGATTTTGCTGATCTCCTGATTTCTGTTTGTCTTACTAACTCTCCTCACTTTTTCATCTTTATGTATGTTATTTATTAATGCTCACAGGCGTAGAAGTGTATTTGCTTTCCTAACTCTGCTACCCTCATGCCTTTGGACTGATTATCTTTTGGCATTTTATATTAATCCTTGGTAAGTGATTTACTTGTTTTTCCATATGCAATGTGTAAACAATGTTAATTTCTATTACATGAAAAATGTGTGATACCTTTGTTTTCAAATGGGTCAAAGCTTTTGAAGATATAATTTTCTTGTACGAGAACATGGATTGGAGAGGATGTGGGTATCAAAGTATTTGCTACCCTGCTTCATCTAGTTTGTCTGTTTATGCTCCAACCTGTTTTGGTATTAAAAAGCCAGTCTTACAGTGGTCATCACATTCATCTCATCACTCTCTTTGCAATTTTTGCCACTTCATTATAAGTCCTGGCTTCTTCTGTCCCAGTTATTTGTCTGTTCATTGCCTCGCATTGCCTTCTGCTGCTGCTGCTTTTCTATTACTAAAATTGCTTGATCGTGCCCCACCTGTTTGGTGTGTGATGTCAAAGACCTTAGTTTTTAAAGATGTGGTTATGATCTCTTGACATCAGTAGAAGTTTTCCTTTTTGGAAACAACAGTTCACTGAGAATCGATACAAACTAGTAGTCCCAAAGTGTAGAAATTGGGTCACTGTGTGCACGTCTCTTTGTGTATGTTTGTATATTTAATAGTTTAGTCTACAAATTATTTATAAAGACTTAGTAAAAGACTGATTGGTTTTTTGAAAACACCTAACCAACCAAGCCCCAGGGTCTATTTAGAACTAGAACTGTTTTACAAACAGATTAATGAATAATTATAATTGACTATGATCTAAAAATGCTTAATTTATATAAAAGAAACTTAAGTTCTGTATGGTCTTGAGTCCAGGATATAGTGGTTTACAAAAACATGGTAACGAAGTTAAGATTTACTTTTCACCAAACGTTTTCCCTGGTGTTACCATATGGCATCAAAGTCCTCTCAGGCAGTCATCAAAATCTTCAGCATAAGGATTTCTGAGACAGGTTTTCCTTGGGTCACATTGGGTCTGTAGAAAAAACCCATCTAAGTTTTCAGTGGCCCCAGAAATGAGTGGGTTTATACAACTAAAGAAAGGTCCGTTTCTTCTCCCATGAAAATAAAAGCATGTTCTCCACTCACACACCCAGCTGAAGAGCAGATGGAAGCCTTCCACATCCCTACCTGGCTAATAATGTCTAGACCTGTCACTTGTCTGACCTAAACTCAACTAACTTTCGGAGCTGCGCAGTGATGGAGTATCAGGCAAGAAGTTTATTATTGTGGAGGTCACACTGATCTCTCTTAACTCTCTAATGGTCAAGAAGCCCAAGGTGGCCACTGTCAATGGCACTGCTGCAAGAAGTCGTCATCTTCTTTTACCCCTTTGCCTCTTTTTGTTTAATATGTGCATTAATATGCATTAACTCACCTTTCCAGATGTGTATCTTTCTTCACAAGTTTCCTCTTCAATCAAGCTACCTACCTAGTTTAGCCTAGATGACCGAGTTTAAAGGGGCTGAAGTTGAATGAGATGAGATTAATCCCTCTCTTTGTATTTTAATCTGTAGAGTAAATGGAAAAACAGGTGACACACCAGCTAATGTTTCAAATGTCTTTGTTTTGCACATGAGTTGGTTTAAAACATTCATAAACATTCGGGAAACAATGCTCAGAAACAAAGGCCTCTTGAGACTATCAAAGCACGAGAAATTGTTGCTGAGAAATGGATGTCAGTCATTTGTTTTATTGCCTCTTGAAATGTTCCACGGAGAAGCATTCTTAGAAGCATTCCCATCATAAACAGCATTTAGATTTTTTTTTTTTCCTTTGGAAATTAATTCCAATGGGCCCGACATTAAAAGGTTTACCACCATCACAGGGGATAGAAATGTGTTGAATAATTTAGCGAAATTAATTTTAAGATATCATTGAAATAAATCTTCGAAGATGTAGAACAAATAGCACTAGGCTATGTGTATAGTACTCATGAATGTACAGATGCTATACAGACAGTATCTGTGTAGATAACATGATAGGCTGAAGAGTTTTATAGTATCTGCAAAGTAAAGCTTTGCAGAGTAAATCTCCACATTAGTGCAAAGCTGATATTGCTGTAGGTCTTGTTAACTCTGCAGGCAAAATTCCATATCTAAATGGAAATGTACCTTGACAAAATAACAAAATTGCTACAGGTTGTGGCTGCTTCAAAAACTGAACATTTTATAAAACTTAATTTTGGAAATGAATAACTTTTTTAAAATTTCACTTCTAAACTTAGCAGGGTGGAAAAATAAAAATACTCCACTTTTTAATATTTCTTTCTGTATATTTTCATTGTTTTGAAATTTAAAATTTAATTTACTAATTGAAACCGTGACCTGAATTATCCAGAAATCATTTTAATATCATCATGAAATTAAAAGTAGCATCGTCATAATGTGATGAATGAATACATATTGTTTAATGACCAGGAAAAAAAAAAATGACACTACTAAAATCCCTTCTGAGTAACCAAGACTCTATTTGTGCTCTGTGGCTGGTTTAACAGAGAGGATCAGTGTTTTCAGACCTGTAGAAAAATTATTCCAGGGTGCTCACTTTGTGCATTTAATATGATTGAGCACTTAACCTTCTTGTGGTAGCAACAAAATGAACAAAAAAACACATGGTGGTAGTTGGTGTAGTACAGTTCTTAAATCCATACCTTATGTATGAGTTCTGCTACTCAACACACTCATAAGTTTGCTCACAACTGTCACTAGTGAATTATTATCACTTATAAATCATGTGAAGACAGCGTATTACATGACTGGCATAATTATCTCGAGCTGTCAAAAATCAATTAAAAGTATCCAAGGTTTGAACTTGAGTCCTGCTGAAGTCAGTAAGATATTTGCCACGGTCTTCATTGATCATCATGAGCAGGTTGTGAAAGGGGTGAGAAACAGTGTTCAGGCTCTTTTTCCTTTTTCCTTCACCCTTCCTCGAATTTTCAAGTGGTGGTCTTCTCCTCTTTGCCCAACAGATGCTTCTTGTTCCTGGATGCTCTCTAGTGTTGGCATCCAGGTTCCCAGCCCGCTGGAGCTGGAGCGGAGCAGTCTGGGTGCTGGATTTGTAGAGGACCCATTGCCTGTATTGGGCACAGGTTTTCCCTTTCACAAGCAGATGGTTCTTAGAGCCACAGAAAATAAAATGCCCGTTGGCATAAGTGGAAACTTTGCTATCTGCTTAAAAACATCCACAATATCACCAATGTCATCCTGAGTATTATGGTGACCAGAAAACATATGTTCTTAAATCAGTACTAACTTGGAATAAAGAGCATACCATAGTTTATTGACTAACACCCTCCCTCCTTTTTTTTTTTTTTTTTTTTTACAGGGGTAAAAATGGATTAAAGAAGAGAAAGCTGACCAAGTATGTAACTCCTTTGATACATAAAACAAAATTTTAAAAAATCACTTTAGACTAAATGTGCATTACGGAGTACCTAGTATAGTGATACTGCAGTTGCAGATTTAGAAAACTTCTTGGTAAACACATCCTGAGAGAGATGTCTGAAGGCAAAAAAAACAAACAATAATTGGACAAAAGCAATTCTTCTCAACAGATAGATTGTGGTAAAACAGCTCCTTACTGGTAGAAAATTAGTCGTTGGGGAAAAGATCAATTATCCAACTTAGTGATTCCGACAGAGCTTATCCTTAGTTAAAAATGAGAAATGGTGAAAAAGTGGGATGCATTTGTTTCTAGTGTTATTTCCCTCTTGACACGAGGCTCTCATTACGGTTGTTGCTAGAACATTAGATCATTAATGCTACCGGGTAAACAGGAGTAATTAAGTGGTGATAAGACAGGTTCCTTTGGGCATATTGCCTCAAAGTAAATGAAAAGATTACTGTGTACATGCTCCAGTAGCTTGTAAATTAGAGCACGATAATTAGGGGAGGGAAGGTGTTTACCTGTGTTTTGTTATTCAGAGCGTTGGCCTCGTTATTTCTCCGCTATGTTCAGAGGCTGTGCCTCTAACAATGGATAGACCCTCACCCGGTGAAAAAATGTGTAGAATGGTGGGAGTCACCAAATCAAGGCTAATTTATACCTCCTAGAGCTCTGCACGGTTTTGTGTGGTTGTATGCCACTCCTTTTAGCCACTCTCTCTCTGGGAGGAGAATTTCGCCTCTAGTGACAAATGTGTGTAGTTCTTAAAACCAGCAGAGGAAGCAGTCACGGCAGTGGCATCCAAAATGCTATTTTAAGGGATTTTTTTTGTGGACTTTCTAAAAAAATCAAAACCTGAACATGAAATCCATTTTCCTGCACGAGCAAAGCTCAGATGAATTTTTAAAGTGTCTCTGCCAGGTATGAATGTATCTGAAACCAGCATTTTACATGGCACAAGAGGCAATTTAAATTAAGCAGCAGCTGCCCCAGTGCCAGAAGCCAAGTTAGTGGGGTGGTATGGGGAATGGGTCTGCCATGGGATGCTGGATCACCACTTATTGCACTGCCACCTGTTCTATGGGGACATACCCACCTGCAGAAGCAGTTCAGGGGTCAGGGAGTCATAGGAAGGGTGCATGGACCGTTCCCCTTTCCTCAGCCCCGTGGTTTCCCTCAGGTAGGACAGCTCCAGAACCCCTCAAACCAGGGTGCTTACTGTCATCAGGACCAGCAGCTGCAGCATTCAGCTCATCCAGAGGGACCAGCACCCCTCGCTCAGCCTCTTTCCCATGCCGTTGCAGTAGGATGCAGGTAGCAAGCAACATGCCCACCATTTGGTGGCAGGGAACCACAAGATGTTTTTACCTCTTTGTTATTGCTTTCTAGCATTAACAGTTGAAAATACATATTCATGGCTTGGTAGTATTCTGGGGGAAAGTAGAACTAAAATGTAGTAAAAAAGTTTGTTGTGGTTTTTTTAAATTTAATTTCTGTGTGTTTTTCTTTTAAAGCCCTGTCCAGTTGGACGATTTTGATGGCTACATCAAGGATATGGCCAAAGATTCAGATTATAAATTTTCTCTGCAATTTGAGGTAAATCTGGGGGGACTCTGCCCTCTCCTAGCTGCCGTGCCTAGATCAGCTTTTTCCAGATGTTGGGTTTAGGTGGTGCGTTCCTCCTGTGCTTTGGGTTGTTTAATGTGCTGTTGCTGGGTGGGTCAGCTTTACTTCAAGTTCTGCATAATTAAAAAGCGAGCCTTGGTGTCCTTAAAGAGGTCATTCAGTAGGCTGACTTGAGTGGCTCGTCACATTCAATCCAAGACAGTTGTCAGACTGACACACTTCCTTTAAGTTTAGGATTTAATGCCCTTAATTTGAGGGGCAGCGCTGGAAAGAGAAGGTAATATCAGAAATCTCTTTAAGAGCAAGGAAGTCTCTCTAAGACCAGTTCAGGTACATTCTCTGAATTACCCAGAATTTAAAGTTACTTTAGTAGTATAAAACTAAAAAGCTGCGATCTGAGAGCTAGCTCCCAATGATTTAAACATGGAATGGGGATGGGGAGGACTGTCAGGGTGTTACCACCATTCTGGGTGGCTGGCGTTCCCTTTCTGCCACTGAAAAGTCCTCTGATGCATGATATTTCATTTCATAGATTTCATAGATTTCTAGGTTGGAAAAGACCTTAGAGATCATCCAGTCCAACCGTCCCTAATCCCCCATTAAACCATATCCCTAAGTAGTTCATCCACCCAAATATGTTATACTCCCTTCAGTAGTTACATCTAGTAGTTTCACTACTAGAAAGATCTTCCAACCATTCCCCAGTATCGAGATGAAAAGCCACTTGAAGCTTTGAAGAAAGCCCTTTAAGTGGGGTGGATGACCACCACAGAATAACTTATCAGCCCCTGTTTTGGCACATTTTTGGCTAGTTAAGTGCGGCTGGAGAGGAACTAGTCCACAGCTGCAACCTTGGATGGCAGCAGCTCGTTGACAGCATCAGCAGGAGAGACCACATCATTGCTCTCCAGCTGCTTGGAGCCAACCTCAGAGGCATCAGACAGGGAAAGTCGGTGTGATCCTGCTGTCAGTTTATAAAGTGATTTGCGAGCGTTTCCAGTCTGGTACCTGCCACAAGTAATCACTTCACAAAGAATTAATTTTTGAGCGTTTGTGAGTTTGAACTTGACGTTTTTCTTTCTGTTGCCCCAGGAGCTAAAACTGATTGGGCTTGACATACCCCACTTTGCTGCTGATCTTCCCATGAATCGCTGTAAAAATCGCTACACGAATATCCTGCCGTGTAAGTACAACACATACAGACTCCCGCTGAAGTCCCTCCAGAGGGAAAGAAGAGTTTTAGTAAGAGAATTGGAGAATCAGGACAGATTTTCTGTCTGATAAAAGCTTGTTCTGAAATCTGTCCTTAGAGGGAACCAGGCAATAGATGGTTTTTGTTAGCTTTGAAGAGACGCAGCTTTCTGGGGATGTTTATCAAGACAGGAGTTTGGAGGTGAGAAACACAAGGTTGTTTCTACTACTGAGTAGTGTTACTGTATTTTTGGTACAATTTTAATGAAACGTAAGGGAGCCCAAAGGGACGGCCTTTGGAGGGTGTATTTTGCAGAACAGTAATGATGGTGCAACCATGTAGTGTTTACTGAAGCAAACATTGTTCTCTGTCGATAAATATAAGCATTCTTTAGTTTCTTGATAGATTTATTTTTTTCAGTTTTTATAGGGTTAATTCCAATTTCACCCAGTTGGAAATGAGTGCTGTGTTTGAGAGCCAAATTATTTTTTCTTTCCTTTTACAGATGATTTTAGTCGTGTCCGGTTAGTTTCCATGAATGAAGAAGAGGGATCTGACTACATTAATGCCAACTACATTCCTGTGAGTACAGAGTAAAGTGTAAAGAACAGTCCTCTGCACAGCAGTTAGAGCGTGTCACCTGCAAATAGCACAATATGTCCTGGAAGCTCAATCAGGTTCTCAGCATCTCCAAACTTCAGTTTCCAGTATTTTTCCTGCAGGGAACTGTGCTTTTCACCAGCCATCCAAAAGAAAAAAAAAAGAGAAAAGAGGAAAAAAGGAACAGGGGGAGATTTTGGCACGTACTGGGTGAGCCATGTGTTAATCTTTGTGAAACCTAGATCAGACTGGTAGAGAAATGAGGAGGAAACATGAAGTGGGGCAGTGGCATTTTAAGACAGCTAGGGAAAACGTAAGAAACCTCTAACGAATTTTTTCCAGGTTTCTACAGCACATGGAAGAAGGAGTAAGCCAGACACTCCGCAAGTGACAAAAGGCACAGAGCCTGGATGGTGCGTGGAAGAAGCTTCTGCTTTCCGCCCCATCTCTGGTGTTCCCAGAGAGCAGCCTTTTCCCAGGGACCAGCACGCAGAGTTTTAGGATAATTCAAGTATACACAGAGCAATACAATTTGATGCTGAGGGTGGGCTAAAACCTCATCAGCTCTTCCCACTCTCGCCAGAGCTTGTGTAGTCACTCGGGCTTTTTGTTGCCGCTGCCGCAAGGGTTTTCCCTCCATCATCCCCCTCGGAGTGGCTCAGCCTAAGCTGTGCTCAGGGAGAGCACCGTTCGCTGGGTCACGCTGCACGGAGAGGTGGCAGGACACCACGGCATCCGTTTGGAGAAAGACCTTGCGCTCAGCGACCGTGGGCAGATGAGCATTGCTGCACCTTCACGGGGAAAAGAAGACGGAGCTGGCCCTGGCTGTGCTGGAGAGCTCTGAGTCAGCATTGTGGAAAAGGGAGGAGACCTCAGATGAGTTGGTGAAACTACTTCTCCGTCACTGTGGCATGGCCCACGCGGGTACTGCTGAGCGCGTCGCCCGCGCTTAGCTCCTACGTGTCCAGAGCATGAACCTAAACACTCAAGCTGCCAGTGCCTGAGCTCACAGTCAATCAAGAAAGAAAAACGTTCCAGCATTCCAAAGCACCATCAGGGAACTTCTATGAATGGCATTATGAATAATAGGATTTCATGGAGCAGTCCTATTTGGATTGCTCAGTTCTGCTTTTAATAGTTTGCATCTCTTTTAGCATAATGCTGACTGTAGAAACTGGGACAGGCACGTGATCTTAGTGCTTGGCTTTTCCTGGTGATTGCTTCTCCACAGAGGACCTGCCTCCAAACACAGATACTAGTGGTTATCCGTGTCTCTGTGGTCATGGAGATTTGACACTTAGGTCAGAGATAGTCCATGCGGGCAAACGAACAGCAAATTCCATGTAGTGAGAAAACTCGGGCTGAGCTGACTTCTAGACATGTCTGCAGGAAGCCATTTATGGAAAGTGCTCCCAAATCACAAATATTTTTACAATCCACATACTGTGGGGGAACAGAAATTGCTCAGTTTCCATGGGATCATGCTGGGTGTTGGATGGATCTTTCGCTCTTATTAGGAATATAAAAATCACTTTCCAAATGTGGTTTTAATGATACAATCTCAGCAAATGTGGTTATAGCGGATGCCAGAATGGCCATTCTGTGGGTCTTATAGTCATTGTAACAGCCTTTTGGTTTTGGAGAGGGGAAGGAGTCTTTCCAACTAAAAGCATGTCAATAGAAATAGGAGAAGGAATACATGTATGTTAAGCATCTGAGCTTCAATAAAACATAGCAATGATAATCCCTTAAGGGTGTTAACTCAGGATGTTCTCTATTATTTTAAGTAGAATTCTAATTAATATTTTACTAATTTAAGTCCTTGTGACATAAACACGTGGACATAATCCTGCCCATTGCTGCCTTCCATTTATATCAGTGACTGAAACTCACCACAGGCACTGCTTGGGATGAGCAGGCGAAGCGTCTATGATTGTTTTTATGTCTGTAACTAAACAAACCCCCAGATTATGAAATCAGGAAGAAGTTGGAACTTTGATTTAGGATTCCCATTACTTGTTTTTTTAGTGTTGCCTTTCCTGTTCTTAGGGCAAAGGATTTGTACAATAACAGATTCATCTTGTCTTTCATTATAGATTGCTTATACTTTGGGCTCATCAAAAAACGGCAAAAGTTGTAATCTCAGAATAAATACAAAAAATCATGGAGTAGTTTCTTCATATTAGTTTCTTCATTTCTTCATATTAGTAGTTTCTTCTTATGAGGACAGGCTGAAAGAG